GACAGCAGTGCAAGACAGCAGTGCAAGACAGCAGTGCAAGACAGCAGTGCAAGACAGCAGTGTAAGACAGCAGTGTAAGACAGCAGTATGAGGCTTTGGGCCCAGACTGGGGACAGCGAAAGAGGCAAGAAGGAGGAAAGAGAGGGGAAAAAAGAAAGGTAGAATCACTGACAGCCACAATGGAGATACTAAGAAAAGGAACAGGGTTTATAGGTTTGCAGTAGAGCCACAAAAGCCTTCTATCCATTGCCCATGAGTTCTCATGCTAAAAGCAAAGCAAGCAAATTCTGCAGTATCATTCCAAAGGAAAGCACATTTAGTGTCTTAGGCCAGTACACCAAGAAGCCATTGTCCTTGGACTGCCTTGCCATCCATATCACCTCCACAAAACCCCAGAAGTAAAAAAGTCAATAGGTCTCAAGATACCTCAAGGGGTGAGAAGACCAAGATCTAGTGTAGGGTTTGTATGCTCAAACGGCACAAGGCTAGTGACTTCAGCATAAGGAGACCAGCACTCAGGATCCCCATCACCACAGCAGAACTATGCAAGAAACAACCGAAAGAACCAGGGACACCTCCTGGAGAAGACAAGGCTGGCTGAAGGACGTCTTCAGGTAACTGGATGCAAGGGTCTCTTCAGCGTTGAGGGACTCTGATTCTAAAGAGTAACTGAGGTTTCCATATAGAGGAAAATCTGACTATTTTGTAAGGCTCTCCGTGAATGAGGTCCTAGGAACAGGAGAACTTCACAAGAAGGGTTTCACACAGTGCTCTAGGATAGAACCAGCCTGAAGCAACTGAAGGGTCTCCCACGAGAGGGAGGAAGCAGAGCTAACTGGCATTTGATGCCTGACTGGTAGGGCTTGGAAATAAACAGGACCACCAGTGTCTTCAGTGAAGCTTGAGAAAGCCAAAAGAAGTTACCAATCCTATATATCATTGTCTTAGTCATTGTCCTATTGCTGCGAAGAGACACCATGACCAAGGCAACACTTATAAGACAAAACACTTAATTGGAGCTTGCTTACAGTTTCAGGGGTTTAATCCAATTATCATCATGGTGGGAAGCATGGCAGCACACAGGCAGGTCCTGGAGCAGTAGCTGAAAGCTACATCCTGATCCAAAGGCAGAGTGGGAGAGACTGGGCCTGGCTTGGGCTTTTGAAACCTCAAAGCTCACCCCCAATGACACACTTTCTCCAACAAGGCCACACCTCCTAATCCTTCTAATCCTATCTAAAAGTTCCACTCAAGTATATGAGTCTATGGGAGTCAATCTTATTCAAACCACCACACTCCACTCCCTGACCCCCAGAGGCTTGTAGCTATGTTATAATGCAAAAATGCATTCAGTCCAACTTCAAAAGTCCCCATGGTCTATCACAGTCTCAACACTGTTTAAAAGCTCACAGTCCAAAATCTCTTCTGAAACTCAAGGCAATCTCTTAACTATAACCTCAGGTAAAATAAAAATCAAAAAGCAGATCACATACTTCCAACATACAATGGCACAGAATATACATTACCACTCCAAAAGGGAGGAAAGGGAGCATAGTGAGGAAATACTGGACCAAAGCAAGACCAAAAACCAGCTGGGCAAACTCCAAACTCTGCATCTTCATGTCTGATGTCAAAGGGCTTGTTAAAGCTCCAACTCCTTTCAGCTTTGTTGACTACAACATTCTTCTCTTTCTTGAGTTGTTTCCACACCTGGTATGCAGCTCTTCTTGGCAGGGATCCCATGACTCTGGAATCTCCAACATCTTGGGGTCTTCACCTTCACAGTTTCATGCAATGGCCTCTCTGGGCCTCCATGCAGGAACATCTCTGACACATGCCTGCTGAAGGAGATTCCATAACCCTTTTCTTGTACCCTTAACTCTAAAGCCAGAACTATGTGACTGAAGTACC